CATTTACTTATTTATTAACATTTTTCTAAGACAACTATTGTTTCAGACATGAACAACTATACTTTTTTGTGAAGCTAGTGGAATTGAACTTGAAATATTATAAGTGCACGAGGAACAGTCCTTAAGTGACACTCTCCATTTTCAATCGCCTTGGTGCCAAATTGTAGAACTTCCTAAGCTAATTTCAATAGACTAAAACATTCTTTCTCCTACACTGTCTTGAAAGCATTAGATTGATCTCTCTATTAAAGAATAAGTACTGCGAGCTGTTATTTCATAAACCTTAATTTTTATTTTAGTTTATTCCTCATTACTCAAAAAAATGAACAATAAATGCATCTCAATTGACTATATACATGCCCATATAATCATCAGAAACAAAAGTTTTAACTAGTACGTCTATAATTTGAAGATTTCAATACCATCATAATATGTACTGTGAATAGATAGAATTCAACTATTTTATCAAAGTTGATCAAAATTTTCTGGAACTGCTATATTAATGACGTAGAAATTATAGCCTTGTCAGATATAGATACGACAAGTAACTGAAACATGATCAATATGTGTTTTTAATCTATATTCTGAATAGATGAATATCTAATTGAAATTTGATAAATTTTGAAAGAACAATTGAATTGCGTACATCTACAATATTAATGGTATTGAAATACTTCAAGTATAATTAGATGTATGGTTAAGACTTTATTTATGCCGATTGTGTAGATCTGTACAACCAATCAAGGCATCTTCACTGTTTAAATTTTGAATGTTGAGAAAAAAAATCTACATGAAAATTTAAATTTCCGAAAAAAAACAACCTACATTAATGCTTCTTCAATTGAGATCGATCTGACTCCTACAAGAGAGTCCGTGAGTAAGAGCGATTCATGTTAATGTGATCATCTCGTTGAAATCTGTGTTTTGCTATCGATTTGATTCAAAACCGAGGCTCAATCTTACAGATCTTGGCTCGTTAATTCTAAAGTTATCTAGGTTTTTAAACTAAAGAAAAAGTGTCAGAATGAACTGATTTCTTGCATAACAACAAGGTGATTTAGGAAGACTGAATATATGCAAATGCCAGTGAATATAATTGACTATACGAAAAAGAAAAGGGTGCAATCAATTGCAAAACAGTATGTCAAGCAAATGTATGAATGGAAATGAAAAGACTACAAAAGGTTGTTAGCGCAGCTCCTTTGAGGCTGAAATGTGAAACTCACATAAAGAGTATATACTAAATTCTGATTCTCTTGTGCAATATTTTTTTTTCTTATACATTCCTAGGGCGAAGAAGGCTGATATTTATGGTATATGAACTAGATGTCTAGATCTACTCTACGCTAGAGTTTGAGCTTTCTATTTCTTATTGTTGCATAGATACAAACATTACCCATATTTAAGAAAAAATCGAAGAAATTTTAGAGATAAGGAGTGAGGCAGGTTAAATGATCGTGTTTTGCATTTCAATTTTCAATCACTTAACACATTGTATTAAACAAACAAGACATAACATAAGATATAGCGTGAAAAACTCTACAATCTACAAAATAAAGCGTATCTTAATTGTATACCTTTCGTTTTCAAAAAAACCAAATTTCTGTGAGATCCATTTTCTACGCTGCGAAAAGGACATTGATTGCTCGCACAGAATTTTGTTTATTTTAAAAAACAAATGGCGTATATATAAAATGAATTATTTTTTCTAAATTGTAGAGCTTTTCACGCTGCATCTTGCGGTATATCTTGTTTTCTTCTGGATAGAATGTATCCTTTTTCGTCCTAGGAATGTATAAGAAAAAAAATATTCCACAAGAGAATCAGAACTTACAATGGAAGGGTTTGTACTGTTGAGCGAATTGATTGGTTTTATTCGTGTCAAATGATAGCTCGCACTGAGAAACTAACAAATTTAAAATATGAGCTGCTCCTGAAGCACCTGGGACAAAGATATTCCATTTTTAAGTTATGCGCAATCTGTTATTGTGTCAAAGGTCAAAGATTACCAACAAAGACCAATGGCTGATGAATGCCTCAAGAGTCTCATTCTTTGGTGTTTGGAGAGCGGAGAATTCATTTATTGGATTGTTGGATGGAGAGTTGTGTAGTTGAAGCTTGAGCCATCCATCAGCCACTGGTCTTTGTTGGTAATCTTTGACCTTTGACACAATAACAGATTGTGCATAGCTTAAAAATGGGATATCTCTGTCCCAGGCGCTTCAGAAGCAGCTCATATTTTAAATTTGTTAGTTTCTCAGCGAGAGCTATCATTTGACACGAATAAGACTAATCAATTCGCTCAACAGTAAAAACCCTTCCATTGTTAGTAAGAAAATTGGAAGATTCCACAGATTCACAAATTAAGAAACCATTACAAGATTCTATGAGGAATCCTTGAGCCCGATGTACTGTTGTTATCAGAATCTTCATTGTAATTATTCAGAATCTTGTTCGGATGGTTTTGGACTATTAGCATCGCGAATCTTTGTGAGAGATATGGTAATCCTGATCATCAACTTGATTGGGAAACTTAATGGGCGAGTCAGAACATTTCAGGATACTTCTCCAGAGTTTTCTCTAAGTTCTAGCAGGGATTTCTATCTTGATAGGGAATGCAGAATTCTAGCAGTGTTCACTCCAATCATACTCAAGATCTTAATTCGAATTCCAAATACGATTCTCACAAGATTTTATTCGCTTTTTTTGTGAACATCTGCTCCAAACCTTCGGATTAGAATTGTCATAGAATTTGGATAGTGATTCTGACCACGGTCTCAGCGAGAGAAAAACGATATTCGTGAAAAACGAATTCTGAAAAATCCTAACAACAGTGCATGATGATTCCTAAAACTTAATGCATACTCATGCAGAGAATCTTCATTGTAAGTGATGGGTGTGGATCCTCACGTCACTCACTCCCACCCTAAAGAATTAGAAGGAGTCCAAAGAGTAAAAGGTGTGGTACGATTCAAATGAAGGCAAGAGCCCGAAAGACTTTCGAAGATCGAAGGAAATCGAAGAGTCCAAGAAACATAACATATATCTTTGGCGCAAAGAGCCTAGAAGGCACGAGTGACGATGAAGAGAAGTATCTTAAACACCTGCAAGACGAAACAGGAAAAAAAATGAATGACAGACGAAGAAACACCTTATTCTGAAAAGTTTGCGAATGGATTCACAATTGATGTCCTCGATCAACGAATGACTTATAGGAGAAAAAAGGTGGCTGATTGTACGAAATTCCTTCTTTTATAAAAACTATGACGTCAGTCAAGTGAGCAGCCGAGACACAATTTTTTCTTTGAAGTATCTTTCTGTTCATTGAAACATTTAAAAACCGATTTCATTGTAGTAAAAAGAAAGCATCGAATACCTCTAGGTTCAAAACATGTCAAGGGAGTCAGATCAATTGAAATTTGCAAAAATCTCGTTTGTCAATCGTGACTTTCGTGCAGTATCCAGGTTTACCACCATATTTTCGTAGTCGAACTAGATCCAATGCTTCATACACCTGCCCTCATGCATTCTATGTTGGTGCTATCGATGTTGAATCTTCGATAATACGAATGTGCTGATGTTTTTAAATTATTTCAACATTTTATGCTTTTTTAGTGAGTCATTGCTAAAAATCCTCTAGGACACGAGTCAATATGTTTCTGCATATATCAAGTACTCTCAGTTGATTCATACGTAGTAAGCGACATTCATAAAGCTCATATAACAATCAAAATTTTCTCTGGACCTATTCTGGTAGTTCTTCTAAATGATCGACTAATTAGTTTTTGACTAATCTTATATTATTCAACAGTGAAATGTTTACTCTTTACCGAAAACTAAAAAGAAGCTCTTTGTGATCTTGGTAGTTAAAACTATGAATAAAATGCTTCAAAAAAAGTTTCTGGCAGAATTGGAAAACCTGATTTTAAGATTGTCTGAATTCAGATAGGGAAGAAAGGGATGAGACCTTTAGAATACAGCGCATTTTTATAGTATCTGAAGTCAAATGTTTTATTAAATTGAAATGCACCATATTTGGTTGAAAGGCAACATATATAGTAATATCAAACGAAGAGAAAGGATGGATTTCGTTTTGTAGATGTCAACAAAACGAAGTAAAATTTAATAGTGACGAAAAATAGTCAACATGGGGATTACTATTGATTGATTTTTTCTTATGATAACTACTTAATCGCCCATAATATAAGATTGCTGATCTTGTCAATGTTACCTTTAACTAGCTGCAGACTAATATTCAATACAAAGGAACTATATATATTTGAATAAAACTAGTATTTGTCAAGATCAACAAGCGTTAATTTAATGCTTACATAGTTGTTGAGTAGTTGTTGTAGTTGGAATTGTACTTGTAGTTGTAGTATTCATTGCTATTAATTATCAAAGAAAATTTGTGTAATCAAAACAGATAGTTTTATGTCTGACATAGAATGTAATATAGAACTCGGTGCACTTAAGTTTTAGGTGAAGCCTAAGCAGTGTTTCAAAGTAGAGCGCCGATCTCAAATGGCCTAAAAAAAGATTTTTTTTCTTTCAAAATTGCTTTTTTGATGGAAGACCTCTGTATTCATCGGAGAACGAAAACCCAGTAAAATATTTGATAATTCTATTCGATTTGTTTCGGTTGAATGCAATCAAATCGAATCGCATTGAGTTGAACCGAATCCATCGAAACTGTGCTGCTCAAATTCATCGCTTCTGTTATATTTTAAATACACGTAAAAGATTTAAATGTACTGACTGTCGTTGCAGTACAAGATCGTTATTTGAAGTATGAAGTTTGTGATTTCAACCTGTTACATAAATTGCCCACATGTCAGTGCGTTCGTCTTAGACCATTAGAATACTCTGCCGTCATATCAGCAGTGTGAGTGAAATAGCTTTACAGGAATACTGGACAGAACCAAAGAATACTGTAGAGATAAATTGTTACAAGCTCTCTTTCTCTTGTTCCTCTAGTCGTCAGACAGTTTGAATATTGACATTCTTCTCTTAAGAAAGAAATCTCAAATGTTTGATACAAGCAGGGATAGCCTTCAAAATAATTAGCCGCACCAAGGGTGTTCTGACAATATGCATTCTGTGCTTATTGGTATTTTTCTGAGGCGGATGAGTCAGCGATGCTACAAGCTGTGAAAATTAATTTTCATATACAGTTGCATTACTGATCATTAGTGGCATATTTATTCAATTCAATGGCTAAAGCACTCTTGAAGCTCTACCGATTATTCCGTCACAGCTAAATGATTAGTCTTCAATTTCGCAAGGTTAGTCATTAGAAACATGATAGAGAGAATCATGAATGCGTTTTCTTTCGAACTAGATGTTAATCGCAGTTGTCTTGAAAAAAGACTGTCGAGTAAACTCAATATTCACTAAACTCAGTCGAGTATACAACAAAAACTGTGAATAAAGAGAAATGTGGCACAATAGAATTGAAGTGCTCTTCTGGGGATTCTAACATATGACATGCTCTACAGAATCGAATCGAATGATCAACTGTTCAATTTGTTTCGATCTCTGATGTACATTCAAAAATTCACTGTGTCTTCATGCATTGCTAAATATAACTGAAACCGACTCTGTATTTCAAATTAATGGATATAGTCCATGAGAAGAGATGAAATCTTTTTTCCACTGATTACAATTCGTATTCTCTCTATCATGCTTTATCTACTTCTTCAAAGTCTCTTCGACTCTTCTCACTGCTCCTGCATCAACATGAACTGCATATGTGAGGGTGCGTCAATGATGAAGAAATAACTTTAAGAAAGATTCGGCTTTCACTTGAATTTGTAGATCACTCTTTGTTTTCTTACTTTCTATTGGTGGACAGAGTTGTCGATTGAAACTAGGCACCGAATAACAAACAGGAAGATTATGACATCGAGGATGATAGACACATCTATGGTTAGGTTCACTACAAATGTTGTTTGAGCGTTCGCATGTAACTAGCTCAGAACAATCGACGAATTCATCGGTACAAATGCCAATGTCAATAGCGCCTGCTATATGGAAACATGCACATGCACTATTTGGCGAACATCGATTATATTGAGCAATTCCATTGCAGAATTGAGATTTCACTCGAACTAGCGACATATTAAATTAATAGGAAGATATGTAAAACAAAACAAGAATCAAACCTGTAAGGCTTAAAAGGAAAACTGTTTAACATTAGATGAATAGAAAAAAATAGATTTTAGAATTACCTGAATAGAACGAATATGAAATAACGAATTACTGTTGAAACCATTGCTTGCGTTGAAATAAGACAAAATAGCGGCGGCACTCGTCTTTATATACAATAAAGAGACAATGTTTTTCGCATTCACTGAAAGTGAAGAAGCGCAATATGTGATCTTTCGATAAATAGAAATATGATATTGTTCCACTGCTTTCTTAAGCACTTAATTTTTCTTCGAACAAGTAATCTTTATAGAAGAAAAAAAACGTCGTAAAAGCAATATAGAATTGCTTCTGTGATATAAGCATTTAATAGGCTCCTGCCATCGTTCGAAATATGAATATTGTTATTGTAAATCATCGATTTACTATGTAATGACAACTTAGAACAATTTCAAGGACAAATTTTGTTTTTAATATTTGTATTTTTATTATAGGCAGCTTACAAAAGTTCGCGTCTTGCGGGTGTCGGTATGGTGTGGGTGTGGGATGTGGGTGTGGGTGTGTGGGTGTGGATGAATGTTGTTTCTCTCCTCTTTCACATGCCTACACCCACACCCACACCCATAGGCGGCGCGCCAGCAATGCAATGGTTAGCAATTGCTACCCCTAAAATAAATTATTGAAAGCAATAAGAACTTATTGCTTCCTCTAATTTTTCACGCTTTCTGTAAATTCTAGAGTGAAACTACTGTACTTTTCATACACATATTCGATGTGACTCTGCAGTTAATGTGTGAGCATTGTATCTTAGTCTCAGGAATTGTTTATTGCTATCCGAATGCATGGGTTTCTCGCTATATATGCATGACATAGGATTATTTAAGTAACACATAATGCATTTTTTATTGTTTCGGAGCTCCTTCTTCCACAATAAGCAATGTCTAAGGTTTACCACTCGACCAAGACCACTATAATAACCTAGGCCGATTCTTTCTTCATAAGGCTGATTACTAATACTCGAATGATCGTTATCTACTCTCATCGAAAGAGTTATGTCTAATTGACCAACGTATAATAGGTGAAAAGAAATAACTGATCTTACTGCTTGCATCTAATAAAAGTGATATTACTGTGCCAACAATGATACGCATTCTCAAACGGTCATTAACTTCGTCCGACTGATCTCTCTCTTATTGTTTCATTATCATTGTCTACCTTTCTATTCATAAATGGTCATCTCTTTCTTCCTCTAGCACCAATAGATAACGAGGTTACTCCTTTTTTCACTCACTTCTATGTTAGTCCATTTTCTCGTCGACGATGTATTTTTCTCTCTCCTGGCTGATGTATATAAGGTGAGGAAATTGATGAAATAGAGTTGGAACATAACGTAATGCTTGTTTTTACAATTACCATTTAGCTTTCAGTTTTTTTTTATTTGCTATTTAACATAATTTACAAAGTGCCATTTAGTTTTTAAAATGTAAAGGAGCATGTCTGAAAAAGATAAGCTTTCTTATTACTTCTCAAGAAAATTAGTATCTTCTTCACGTGATATATGTAATATAAATCATCCTACTACCACAAATACAACTATTATCAATACAAACGAATTAATAGTATTGAATGAACTTGATGATCGATTATCAACATCATTATCTTCGTCAACCAGTACTTGTTTTGAACTTGAAAATCAAGATAATGAAAATTTAAATCTCAAAGAAAATGAATTTACAACAACAAGAAGAACAACAACAGATAATCATGAATTATTAGCTGAATGTTCACAAATGAATTCATTCAAACGTGATCCAGATCGAGGTCCACAAGCAGCTAAAGAATTTTTATTATTAGGTCCATATCAACCTATTACTACTTTTCCAACAATTAATCATCGACATTTTTGTTCTCGTTGGTATAAGATTTATCCATGGATTGAATTTAGTGAAATGACTAAAAAAGCTTATTGTTTTGTTTATCGACTTGCTTATTCATCTGGACGCTGCGATGATGCATATACCAAGAATGGTTTTAATATTTGGTCAGTGGCTATTCAAAAGTTTAATAAACATCAATCAACTTTATCACATAAACAAGCTAATGATTCATATATAAATGCTGTTCGAAATCTTACAGATAATACTGATGTTTTGAAATTAATTGATAATGAACATAAAAAACAAACATTAGAAAACCGAAATTATTTAAAGGAAATAATTCGATCAATCATTTTTCTTGCTAAACAAGGATTACCTTTTAGAGGTCATCGTGAAGATGATGAATCAAAAAATAAAGGTAATTTATTGAGACTAGACTTAGAAACGATAATTCAATCATGTCCATGTACAATATTTACACATATAACGTCCTTTGTTTTAGGCAATCTTTTGGAGTTACTCGAATTTCGAAGTTTAGAAAATGAATTAATTAAAAAGAAATTAAAAACATTAAAATATACACATCATTCAATAAAGAATGAATTATTATCTTTAATACAACAACATATAATTTCTCAAATTGCATCTGAAATAAAAATTTGCAAGTATTATTCAGTTATGATCGATGAAACTACTGATATTATACGGCATCAGCAAGTTTCCTTAGTAATACGTTATACTGACGATCAATTTCAATGTTTATGAACGTTTGCTTGGTTTTGAACGAGCTTCTCACACAACTGGATTAGGTTTATTCAATTTATTAATAGAATGGTTAAATAAACTTGGTTTAGATATCAAAAATATAGTAGGTCAAGGTTTTGATGGAGCAAGTTCAATGACCGGTGAATATAAAGGTGTTGCTAGTCGTCTTATACAAGTTTCACCAACAGCTTTATATGTACATTGTAACTGGCACGTTCTAAACTTGTGTTTAGTAGATGTTGCAGAAGCTGTTGTACATATTCGAAACAATTTTGGTGTCCTTAAATCATTATATAATTTAATTGAAGCATCACCAAAACGACATAAAGTATTTGAAGATTTGCAAAAAGAATTCGGTATTGTGTCCATATCATTAAAACAATTATCAGATACTCGGTGGGCTTGTCGATATGAAAGTTTGAAAGTTATTTTTAGTCGTTATTTAGAAATATTAAATACATTGGAAAAACTTGAAACTAGTGATTCATATATATTATTACAAGTAATAAGAACTTTTGACTTTATTTTTCATATTTATATGATGACTGAAATCTACATGATTACACAAATATTATCAAAATTCTTACAACGTTCAAATATCACTTTAACTGATGCATTAGCACAAGTTAAAATTACAATTGATACACTTGAATCATTAAGAAATGAAGATGAATTTGAAAGAATTTGGCATGAATCAATGAAAATTTGTATGAATAACAATATTGATGAACCTCATGAACGTCGTAAACGAAAAGTTCCATTAAAATTAGGTGGTGGTGATATTAATTCAAGTAATTTAACAATAAAAGATGAATATCGAGTTAATTCGTTTTATGCAGTGTTGGATAAAATTGTAACATCTATTAAAGATATATTTAATAAAAACTATTTATCTGTAGTTGTTTTATGTGAAAAATTATTCTTAACAAAAGTATTATTAAGTAACGATGAATTAAAAGAAATTGCTTGCTTTTACAATATGAATTATGATGATTTAAGGGCTGAATAGCGATTATACAAAACAGCACTTGATGAAAAAAAAGATTGGAGTTTAGCAGTATCAACAAAGTTCTTTATTCAACATAATTTCCATTTATCACTTTCAACAATGGCTGAATTATTAAAAATCATGTGGACAATACCTGTTAACGTATGTGGTTGTGAACGAAGTTTTTCAGCGTTACGAAGAATAAAAACATACATTAGAAATACAACTGGACAAGAACGATTAACATGTTTAGCATTAATAAATATAGAACAAGATTATGAAATTGATATTGATGCTATAGTAGCTGATTTTGTATCAAAAAAAGATGAAAGAAAAAAATTTTTTGAAAATGAAAAAAATAATTGCATATAATTCTCGAACAAGAATGTATTTTTCCTATTATTAATAAACATTTGTGAACATTTAAGAGTGTTTGAAAACTAAAATTGAAGAAGTAAATCTACTCAAGAAAAAGTACATATACTAATTAACGCGGGCTTAATGCGCTACTGAATGAGTTACTGTTCGAGCATTTCATATAGTACCTTTGACAAGTTAAGTTCTAGTGAAAACAATTTTTTTGTATCGGACTGATCATCGGAGAGGGGGGGGGGGGAGAAGAGAAGAAATGAATGAATAGGTTATTGCTACCCCTACAGAACTGACCTTGCGCCGCCCATGATGATAACATAGCATAATTAACGTGTATATCAATTAAGCTATATTCACACTCATACATTGAGATATTTGTGATTGAATATATCTCAATGTATGTATGTGTCCTGATTATAGCTTAATGAGATTCATCTTTTAATTACTCTCTTGTGACAAAGGGAAAAAGTAATTTTTCTTTCAATAACCATCATCGAGGTATAAATATAAATGATTTTACATAGAAAATCATTTAATTTATTGAATCACATAATAATCGTTTCTTTTTATATTTTAGCTTGGCTTCGACGATACAAAATTATTCAATTCTACATCAAGCAATAAAATAAAATGTAGGTATCAGTTTTTCATTTTTTTTCTTTTTCTTTTTTTTCTTTTGGATCATATGGAGGGTGGTAAGTCCTCTTATGATCTTTTTTATGCATTGTTTTTTTAAATTTTAGGTAATGAACAGTGAAGAAATAGATAACAGTGGAGTAAGTCATCTCGTTTTTTTTCATTATATAAGATGGATTAAATTTTCTTTTCTTTTTAGTCCTCAATATCTTCGCGTCTTTATCAACATCGAACACGGTGAGTAATTGTTTTTTTTCTTTTGAGATGAGAATAAGGGAGAGAGGGGAAATAGAGAATAGATAGTGATATTGAGATTGAGGAGAGTTAGGTGAGACTTAGAAAAGTAAGTGTTAGTAGGGGGAAGGAGTAAGTTATGTCCATTGAGATTAGATCCCCGTTAGTTACAGGCCTTCCGGGTAGGCCCTAAAAGCCCGGCCAGGAACTGTCTTGGTGTCCATGGCACACGACCGGACCCTCCGGACTCATTGACATATCTCTCGAGTGGGAGGGATATGAATGATATGAGTCTGTCCCATGCGTGCATGAGCATTACGCTCGTCACGGCTCCATCAGGATGGTTCCTGGTCGCGCGCGCAAATAGAATAAACCATTCATTTCATCAATTCAAAGCGATTTATTTGCGAGGAAGCAAAGAAAAATTAGTCATCGTAATGAGTTTATTCGATTGAAAATCGTTGAACACGATGATTCTCATTATCGACGACATAGAGATTGCCCTGACGATCGAAGGACAAACCCCTCGGAGAGTTGAACTGATTTGCTCCTGCTCCTTTACCATTTCCATCCACAATGGCAGTGCCCTGTTTCGCTCCTTTAGGCCACCGCATCACTCGATTATTCTCCAAATCTGCCACATAGATGGTACCCAATGTATCGACGAACAGTCCGCTAGGATGATACAATTGTGTCAGAGTATTCCCTTCGCCTTGACCCCCAGCGACGACAATCCCTTCTTTTGCACCTTTATTCCATTTCACTACACGATGATTTTCGTTGTCTGACACGTAGACAGTCTGTTGTTGATCGACAAAGATGTAGGTCGGCTTGCTGAGTTGATTGAGACGAGCACCTTTGCCATTGCCACCAGCCACGAGAGTTCCATTCTTGTCTCCTATTTGATATCGTCTTACTTCTTGTTTGCCGTAGTCAGAGAGGTAGAGATATCTCTGATCATCCATGGCCAGTCCAAGACAACTGATGTTTTCGATGAGGATTTCTCCTTGAGTTGTGCCACTACGACGAGACCATCGTATGACTCGTCGATTGTTGGTATCGCAGATAATAAGACTATCCGTCTCTTTGTAGATTAACACACCGACTGGATAACTCAATTGATCCAATCGATTTCCTAGGCCATTGGCACCAGCTACTACTTGTCCATTCGTATCATCCATCTTCCATTGGATGATACGATGATTGTAGAAGTCAGCAATGACTATCGTTTGATCATCATCAACGAAGAGACCATAAGGCCGGTTGAGTTGATTGGTGGCACTGCCTTCTCCATGGCCTCCAGCAACAGTCGTCCCATTCTGTTTCCATCGGGCATCGACTGGAATATTGGGAATCACTACAATGAACGAAAAAGAAAAGAGATCGTCGTTGTAGAAGAGATTCCCTTCTCTCTCGTGGGAAGAAAGAGCTATGAAGGAGACATTCGTCTTCTTTGAAGGGAATTTCGTAAAACTTTCGAAAATGTTCTTTCCACAGATAAATATTCAGATGTCTGTTCCTAGTTCCCTATGAGAAAAAAGGATTTCGTACCGATTCTTACATCTATGTCACTTTTAGTTTTTACCAAGATTTTTTGACATAAAAAACTACACCTGGAGATTACTGTAAGGAGATCTTCGAAAAAAGAGCAATGCTAATTCGATAGTACGCCTCTTTTCGTACCAATCTAATCAGATGAGCTAGATCTGGTAGAATTATTTTGAAAATTTTGGTGACCTGATACATTGAAGTGATCTTGAATTTCTGTCGATTTCGTGGTTTGGGAGAGTTCACCTCGGAAAAACTTCATGGTCAACAGGTGCGTCAATATGAACCCTTTTAGCTCTAAAAGTCTAGCAAACTACTGCTCTGTTTTATTCGAAGATCTTTCTTCCTCCTAAAGATGACCACACCAAGTGAGTTTCTTTCATGCGATCAAAAAATCGGTGTCGCTAGTGAAGTATCTAGTTATTTTTCTAAACTTATTGATGAGAATTGATTAGGATTTTCTGGATTTATTGGTGGAGAGAAAAGTTTCGCTTGGCGTGCACAGGGAATCTGCTGGATGAAATTGCCCTAAGTAAACCAAAACCATATTAGAACTCAAAATAATGAGGATAAAAGAATGAATTTGATTGAGCGAGAAGAAGATGGCTGCCTTCAGAAAATCACTGATTGCATACCTCGTGAATAATCGAATTGCGTGTCGTAGTCAACAAATAGTTTAATATTGTCGAGCCAGCTGTTGTTAAGGAAAGTTTTATTAGGTTGTGCTTTAAACCTGATTAAAATCTCCAGTTTTTGTATGTTTTTATGCAATGCTATTGCAATGCTACTTCCAATTGAGCCTTTTTAAAACGAGAAGGTGTCATGGTGATTGCTAGCATTTATAAACTTACTCATATTTCTTTGAAGAAGAATTTCTTCGCCGCTGTTCATTGCTGTGAGCTGTATTGATACATCTTTTCCCATGTGTGAATCGAAGAGGACTTTTGAGAACGGCCACAGATCAGAATTCCAAACACTGGCTATTTGAATGTATCGTAACATGGTTGCGCCCATGTCATAGGACACTAATGAGAAGTGACATCCATTGGCAGTGTCAACCGTAGTTACTACACCAGTTTGTAGTTTCCAGTGATTGATAAGAGATAGGTGACAACCAACTTGACTATCATTGATCAAATTCGAATCACAACCACGTGTTCCATTAGAAAATACAGTGTCTCTAATTGAGAGAGCACTTGACAGTGGACTGTCTTCTATTGTAGCATTAGTAAAATCGGCTTCACATAGGTTGCTTTGATTAAAATCAACTTTGGTCACTTGAGCATATTTGAAAACAGCTCTTTTAGCGTTTGCATGTAAAAATGTTGATCCTGATATTTTGACATGACTGAAGTCGGTGCTACGGCATTGGCTTTGCTCCAATATTGTTTGAAAAATCGTTGCATAGCTGAAATCAGTCAAGCCTAAACGTACGATGGGAAAATATATGTGTAAAACTACTTAAACTAGATTCTTGGTTACCTAGCATGGCAGAGTGAAACTGCAAATATTGAAGCGTGCTAGATTTGAACGTTACATTGTAGAACCATGCAAATGAGAAGTCAACGTTATGCAGCTTAGCGGATGAAAAATCAACGTTTTGAAGTCGAGCGAACGAAAAATTGACATTTGAGAGTCGAGCGAATGAGAAACGGACATTGCTGAGATTAGCAGATGAAAAGTTAATATTCTCGAGCTCAGTAGCTGACAAATCGACAGAGCTCAGGTGGGCGTATGAAAAGTCAACATTATGAAGCGTAGCATTCGAAAACCTAACATAGACGAGTTGAGACGATGAAAAATTAACTTTTTCGAATTGAGTAGATGAAAAGTCAACATCTTGCATATGGGTATTGTTGAGCTTGCAATCTAGCAAAACAACACCAACCAAGAATAAGGTTCCAATTTTGGATGCAGTTTTAAAGGCGCTCCTATCGATTCCAATCACTTCCATTGTTGAAATATCCAATGCATTATTTTGATCTGTGTTAGTTAGCTGTCCAGCTTCATAGAGAAAACGAATGATGCGTGCACTACGTAGACCATCAAGTTGTCCTATTGCATCAAATGTTTTTGCACGAACCAGTGCAGCAATGACATGACTCGATGCTAGTGTGCCATTTAGTGTTTCCAAAAGCTTACCTACATCTCCGATGTAAGTGGAAAGTAATTCCTGTTGATATCGTTGAGCTGCCATGTGTTTCTGAAGTTCATTTTGTATATTTGCAATGTCCAATTCTTGCTGCCGTAGCAATACATCTCTTTCATGCTGTCTCATGGCTTCTTTTTGTTGATTAGTGGTGCTTATTACGGTGAAGATGCCAAGCACAAGAGGAAGAATCAGTGAAGAAGTCAATTTGAGAACATCTTTCAATGTCAAACCATAGAAATTGCGATCAGAACTGTGTTGTCTGCTCGTTTGTGTTGCTTGGTGTTGCAAATCCATTCTGTATCTTTTGAACGATGTACGGCAATCGGTTGGTATTTATGAAATGACTTGATATTTTAGAATCAGGTGTATACAGAACGTGTTTTTTACACGAATTACATATGTGACCATGATAATGCTGTCATACTGCGTCTTTAAGACTGTCAATGTGTTAAGCTTTCTCAAGTGAAAAAAGAATGCACGAAATACTTTTTATTTTGTCACTTTACTTTCGATGAAAATAGAAAGAGGCAATTTACAACACGCCAGATTGTTCTTATAAGCAATTTCTTTGTAGCCATGTTTCACGGAGAACTCTAGTGACTTCTGCGACAGAACTCGGTCTCAATTCCATGGCAATACCTAACTGTTGTCTGATGAAATCTGGCCTAGATTCAGATGTCAGAAACCTTCAAAAATTAACAACATCTACAAGATGCAACTGAATCGTGATGATCTCAGATTGAATGAGATAAAGAAATGAAATTTAAAAAGCTTTCAAGTTAATCCCTACGGAATTAAAATGTAAAGCACGATGGACTCGTTTCAGTACGTTCCAGTCTTTTAGGATGGGGCGTAGTCACATCGATTATTGTAACATTCGGAATTGTTTTCCATTTTATCTATTTGTCCTAACCTGTGATGCTAGACCGTCTGGCACAGTCTTTGAGGCGGAGGGGAGGGCTCGAGAACAGGAAAGTGGGTCCAATTTTCTTTCTACATACTTCAATACTAATTACCAACCGTGTTTCGAAATTATTTGAAAACAATATTATTGACAAGAAAAATATGCGGTAAGCACTACTAATCGTCATCAGACCAAAAAAATTCAGTGACAACCTTCGTCAAACAAATATGTGTCGGTTCGACTTCAGTCGTTTGCTTTATATATTTAAATGAGAAATCTTTGTCGTGTTGAAAATGATGTTGACTAGTCTTCCTTGTAATGAACAGAAAAAAAGCTAGAGCTTTTATTGATCTACGAACGCTCAATTACATTCAGCGGGCAAAGGAAGTTGTATTCAAGCACGAGCTTTAGAAAAACGATATTAATTATATCTCTCTGATATTTGTCACAACATTACATGTTCTGCTGACATTCTATCTTTCCGGAGAAAAGACACGATTAGTGTGTTCAAATATGTCTCCGCTTCAAGCAAGCGTGTGGATATGGGTCTGGGTGTGGCTGTGGCTGTGGGTGTGTAAGTATGCGAGTGGATGTGGGTGTGCGGGACGTGGGCGCGGGTGTGTGGGTATGGAGGTGCGGGTGTGGGTGTGGTGGTGTGGGTATCAGTATGGATGTGTGTGTGTGTGGGTGTCGGTGTGAGTGTAGATGTGTGGGTGAGAGTGTGGGTATGGGGTGTGGGTGTGGGTGGGTGTGGGTGTGGATGTGGGTGTGGGTGGGTGTGGGTGTGTGGATGTGCGTGTGGGTGTGGGATGTGGGATGTGGGTGTGGGTGTGGGATGTGGGTGTGGGTGTGGGATGTGGGATGTGGGTGTGGGTGTGTATCTCCTCTTTATCTACATCCACACCCACCCACACACCACACCCTGTTTTCGCTTAATTTCGAGAGAGTTCTCAAAAAATGAAACCGCTTCTTTGTATTCTCCTCGATCCTTTTTCACACATGCAAGCTGATAATAGATATTGGCTCTGTCATTGTCACTAGAAGAGTTCTTGATTAACTCATTGTAAAGTGCTTCAGTCTGATTGAAGTGACCTATTATGAGCATTAGTTTACCCATTCGACACCATCCAGTACCATCAATGTTCTTACGCATACGTTGAGTGAGACCAGCCAACTGTGGATCATTTCTTACCCGTCACTCTCACCCTCAAATTCATTTCTGTGAAACTTATTTCATGAATTGAGTTACATAGATCTGATCTATACTATTAAAAATAATAATTTTATACAATTAATAAATCTCTATTAAAAAATAATGTTCATATGATTGATAAGTTTATTAAATAATTCGAGTACAACATCAAAAGCTTTGACAACATTAATTCATTTGTCTTTCAATATTCTTAATTTTTCTTTTTTTGATATATATATTAAATATTTTGTTGAAGAACTTCGGGATTAATTCGATTTTTTTTATGTTGATAAATTTTAACAAAAATAATTGCTAAACAACGAGTTATAATAACTAATCCACCATAAAGAGAAATGAGAGATATTATTGTTTGAGCTAAATCATGAGTTTTAATATAAGAATATGAACATGATAATGGTTGACATTGATTAAAATAATTTTCATATGATAAATTACTTTTATACTCTTCAATCATTAAATTATTTAAAATTGATTTAATCGTTGAATTTAAATTAAATTGACTTTTTTCCAATGTTGACATATTTAAACTTCTAAAATTTCCATTCGAATCAATACAATTTTGATCATAAAAACAATAAAGTTTTGTTTGAAGAATAGATTCAAGTGGATAACAACCACTCATCATATCTCCTGATGATTGAGTACATTTAAATGATAATCCACAATTACATTCACTATAACTTAGAGGTGCTGTACGTGCAATTGAACTAGTAGATGTAGATTCAATTTGAGAAACATATTCCCAATTAGTACTCCATGCACTCATCATCATATTCGAACCAATTATTTCACGAATTAAATTTAAAATATTAAGAAATGAATTGGATGTAGTTGATTGAAGTTGATTTAGAATTATTTTAATTTGTTCAATTAAAAGATTTTCAGATAAAAGTTGAGAATTAATAAAATAACTTGTCAGTAAATGTGAAATGGTATGATTTACTTTATCTTGACTAAGTTTACAAAGTGAAGAAAGTAAAATAAATTGTCCAGGAGCTGAATAACGATAGTCATTGAATGAAAATCGACGAGAAAGATGACCTTCGCCATAAATATAATTAATCCATTCATTAGAAATAAATTGACTTGAACATAAATCATGAAAATGAGGTTCAATATTAAGAAATGTTTCATATGGAAAAGATATTTGTGAACAAGAACATTGAAGAGAATAAGAATGATCTTTTAATAAATTTTTATAATTTGAAAGTGATGGTTTTTTTATTTGGACAGTAACTGATTTTGATTTAAAAGCAGAAAATATAAATATTAAAGATAATATTAGTAAAAGAGAAACAAAATGAAGTCGATTAATAAGACGTTGTTCAGTATTACAAACAAATAAGTTTTTTATCATTGTTATAAATTCATTAAAAGAATTATTATTAATTATTTTCTCAATAAATCGAAGAATAATTAAAGTAAGTAATTTTAATCCAAGAGATAAACCACCAAAAATACCAAGAATTGTTGTTATAATAAAGAATAAATCATTTCGACTAATATATTCATATGTACATGATGATGGAGAACCTGTATTATAATATGAAGAAAATGAAATATTCCATGTCCAAGAATCAATCATAAGTTTATTGAGAATTGATTCAATTGTTTCATTTGGTGGATTAAGATTTTCATTTAAATTTGAAAAATTAAAAGATGATCCAAGAGAAAAAATTAAATCTCGATCTATTTCAATCATACATGATAGATTATAAAAACATTCTAATGTTGATTTCATTAATCCTTCGATTTGAGAACAACCCAGAAAAAAATTTGGGACTACGAAATATGTCGTGTAAATCTCCGAAGTAATTATATTGATTCCGTACCTACCCATAGGGATAAGACATGATGAAGATAGAGTACATGAACAATTGAAATATTCTTGTACGTCAAGATAAATTTTTGTATAATTCGAGTCTATATTATTAACAAAATAACGAAACTGTTCACTCATAAGTTGATTTCCATGTGATACAACTTGAAATATTTTAATTGTTTGTAAAAATTGTTCAATAGTTCGAGATTTCCAATCATTAATAGATGAATTAATTTTAGCTTCAAATTGATTTTGAGAAATAACTTGTGAAGAAAGAAATTGTGTTTGAAGAAATGTTTTGATACTAATATTAACTGTTTGTTGAGCATGTTGACATAACATTGACAATAATTGAAAGTGGAATACACCAGAAGTTTCATAGTTAAATATTGGAAGAAAATCGTTCATCAAGCTACTACCGCTCAAGTAATTAATCCATGCATCTGATATTAAATCACTTGAACATACTTGATGAAAGTAAGGTTCAATCGTCATAAAAGTTGAATAATTCATTGAAACTGTTGAACATGGACAATAAAGATTTGAAGAATAAATTTTATCAAGTTCTTTAAATTGAAATTCTGATGGTTGATGAATTGTTTTTTGTTGAAGATCTTTATTTAATAATAAATAGAAACTAACGATAATAAGCGAAATGAGAAGAACGAATAAATAAAATCGAGTTGCAATTCTTTGATAATTGATTTGATGTTGATTACTTCCATCATGTTTAAACATATTTAGTTCAATTAAAGTTTTTTTCACAAGTCTTTTTATCTTTATTATTACTAAACATAAAATAAAGAAAGAAATAATTTTATTTTTAGATTTTAATTAAGAAAAAAAAAATCTTTAAAAACTTCAATATTGTCAAACGATGGAGTGGTGTAATACCACGACTTGTCCATCTCTCAACTCTAAAGTGAAGTGATATGTATAGTCAGATTTTGTACCGGTCTAGAATTTTCAAACCAGTTCGGTCCAGTCAGTCCAAAATATATTCCACACCAGTAAAAACTGGCAAAAAGTGACCGATATGTTAGATAATCTATGATCGGTGAAAAGAAAAGGCCCCAGAACACACCCGTTTTCAGATTTTTTTTCTTGTTTTTGGTAACTTTCAACAAAAAAATATGATACTATAGTCCCATATATGTGTGAACTTTTTCCAAAGATCAATATGCGATGTTTCCCTATAGCAAAAAAAAACTATTTATTTATCTGATACTCGATTGCTAATCTACAAGTCATGAATTTTCCACTTAGGTTTCACAGACAAAGCTAATGTTTCTGTTCATATGATGATTCAATCTCAAATCTGGTCTATAACAAAATATTAATGAAATAATTAAATTGACAGGTTTATCTCAAGTTAAACTGTTTTAGTCGTGCTTTCTAGGAAATGAAATAAAGTTTGATGAAAAAAAAATTAAAATTTGTAGAGTAATTAGAGAAAATGAAAGTGATGTTTTTCAAAAAAAAAATGTAATTATTTAGATTAAACAACTTCAACTTGCTCCAAATATATTTTCTTATGAAAAAATTATAATATATCTAGAAAATTATAAAAATTCATTTTTGACTTGACTATGACGAGGACCGGAGTGAGTTTAGAAATTCTGTCAAACCAGTAAAAACTGGCGAAGACCGACTAATCCAATAAACAATTCAACCGGTCCGGTTCCAACTCTATGTACAATTGCTTTCTTTAGAAACTTTACCTCGCTCTACTCATGTTCATAGAAAGAAATTTTAATGAATTGAAAGTAGTTAACATATTCTATTTAATAAATCAAACAACTATACTTACAAGATATTGATTCTGTATTTTGAGATGGTTGTCGTAGAATGAATTTAACTAGATTTTCTATAATAATACTACATACCATTATTATAGATCCTAATAAACCAATGGATTGTGTCAGTACAAATTTCCAATCATATTTTTCATTCTTAAAATAAGTACATGAAATAGGAGCACATTGTTCATAATATTTCTTATAAGAAATATTGGGTACCCATTCTTCAATCATTAAATTATCAATAATAGTTTGTATTGTTGAATTTAACTCATAACGACTTTGTTCGAATTGTGGCATTGCTGTAAAAGTTCCAGTCGTAGGTAATAATGAAACAAGGTCATTTAAACACGTTTGATTGTAAAAACATTCTAATGTAGAGAGAAGAATTGTATTTACTGGTAAACAGCTATGCACCATTCCAGGAATTATCATTAATATTTGACCAGTAGGTGGATAATGCTCAAAATCAGACGATTCAAATATATCGAATATCGTTGATTCCATGTTACAATCAATACGGGCCCGACAAGAACATGTTGAATGCTGTGCAACCCGGAAAGCTCGATTACGCATCCAAATTTGAACTACGTTGTAGAACCAAGGCGTATACAGTTGCATGAAATTAGTCTGAAGAGCAGATAGAATACGGTTTCCGGCTATCATTTTTTCTATTAATTCTAATTCTGTTAACAATTCAATAGGTGATGATAATTGAAATTGATGAATAATGACATTTGTTTGAGATCGAAATACAGATTCTTTTAAAACTTCTTGACTTATGAATAAATCTTTATTAAATGAATCAATACTTTGAATAGCATAATCTTTTGAAAGTCGACAAAAACTTTCAAGTGATTGAAATATTGCACTCCCTTCTGTTCGAAAATCATAAGCGGAAAAATATGTTGTATTTGAACCAAAATTAATTGTTTTAATCCATCGATCAGATATAAAATCACTTGAACATATCTGATGAAATCGAGTTTGAATTGAAATAAATTCACCATAGGATAATGATATACGAGAACATGGACAATGAGCATCAAATGGTAAATTTATGTATTGATCTTCACTTGGATTTTCAATTGTTATAAGTATATTTCGATTTCTTGTTTTCATAATACTAGTGAGTCCAACTAGAACAATGATAAAAACAATGAAAAAGATTCGAGTTGCAATAATATTTAATCGACGTTGATATTCTTTTTCTTCATCTGTTGTTGTTGAATCAGTCGATGATTCAAATATATTTAAATTGATTAAATAATTTTTCAATGATGACATTTCATAACAAACAAATAATTATTAATTTCTAAAAAAAAAAACAAAAAGAATAGTTAATCCTCGACAAAAAAATAGAAGAGTAACGTTCAAATGACCAAAAAAACTAAATAATTAAAATAATTATTTTCTCAAACAGTGAGAATTAATAGAAATAACAGATTAAGAATCAAGTATTTTGGTCTTAATCATGAAAATAAATCAAAATTTATCTGAACTTCAACTAAAATTTTATTTCAAAAAGAAAAAATAACAAATTATTTTAATTAAAATTTTGAACAAAAAATGAAGTGTTTCTGTAACTTCTATAAATATTCACTATTTAACAAAAGCTTTAAAAAAAAAATTTCTGATTTAAATAGATTCTTTCATCCTTAAAGAGAACGTTTTCATTTTGTTCAGATGCATATAATTTTTCTATATTTGACAGCACTCTAGAAAATTTTCTGCATCCATCATTAGATTATGAATTGAAATAAAAGAAAAAACAAAAGAAGAATAAGAGAATGTTTTAATTAAACTAAAACAAAAACTTTTTCAGATGTATAAAAATACTGAAAACGAAACTCTTTTAAATAATAATTTGTGCTTCTTTTAAATATCAGAGACAAACTTGAATATGATTATTGATATGTTAATTTCAATTAATATTCTTTTTATTATCAAAGAATAATAGAATTGAACAACAAGAAAAAGAATATTTCTTTCACATGCATCGAATTTTGTATAAATGTAAATAGCAATACCATGTCATTTTAATGTCACACAATTTCCAAATATTTATTTTTCATTCAAGAACTGACAAAAATTATCAATACTGCAATCTGTTTTTTGTCTCGATATAACACTTTTAGTATTTTAATCATATGCTTATATCTAATAAATAAAGAATATTCGTTTTATTTTATATGTACTCGGAACTTTATTGAGTAATTAACATATAATTTATCTTTCTCTGTACGAATAATACAAAGCTTTGGAATATTAAGGGTGGGTGTGGGTGTGGGTGTGGGTGTGGGTGTGGGTGTGGGTGTGGGGTGTGGGGTGTGGGTGTGGGTGTTGGGTGTGAGTGTGGGTGAGTGTGGGTGGGTGCGGGGTGTGAGTGTGGGATGTGGGTGTGGGTGGGTGAGTGTGGGGTGTGGGTGCGGGTGAGTGGGTGTGGGTGGGTGTGGGTGTGAGTGTGGGTGTGGGTGCGTATGTGGGGTGTAGGTGTGGATGTGGGGTGTAGGTGTGGATGTGGGTATGAAAAAGATGATGAGTAACACCCACATCCACACCCACACTCACATCCACATCCACACCCACACTCACACCCACAGCCACAGCCACCCACACTCCACACCCACCCACACTCACACACTCACACCAAAACCCACACCCTACACTCACACCCACACCCTAAATGCAAAATACTGCATGGTGCTAAAACCTATTTTCGGCTGGGAAAAATTATTTTAATCATGAAAAATCTATATAAATAAATGGAGTTTCCTCCTACACTGAATCATGTAGTCGGCCTCTCGTACTATCTATATCACCACTTGAATCAGATCAGTAGTTCTTCATGTGAAAGAAAAATCGAAAAAACAAATTCGCTTAAACTTTTGTCGCCGACTGCACATCGTAGCATCCTGACAAATTAAGCGAAGGATGTCTTTTTTTGAACGACTCATTTGCTGGAATCCTGACAGATCCTGTGATCCGTGCATCTGTCTTAAATATAAAATATACGAGACTGAATGTGCATGACGATCAATATTTTTGGCCGTTTAGAGCAGATTTGTAGCATATATGATGTCAAGACATGTTTTACACACGTAGAGAAATAATCTGCTTGCCTAGTATTGCTAAAAAGACTCGTCTTTTACTTATTTCAATAATCAAAATTTCACGACGATCCACTATTAAGAAGAATCTTTTGTGTCGAAGTTTTGTCTGATACCCTCAATATTTTCAATAAATATTTTCAAAATATAATCGATTTATTTCTTGTTTATTTCGCTTGAGGTAGAACACAGTTCATCTGCACGCAAAAGAAATATTGAAGCAGGAGTATGGAAACAGTCTTTCTTGACAAACTAATACATTCTACGCTAGTTTTGCACTGTTATGATAATTATTGTTGTTCTCTAGGAATTGATTGCTAATGATAACATATGAATATTTTTAAAGTTCTACAATAAACTGAAACCATCCATTTAGATATAGATAATTTATCGCAATTAAATTCCAGAGTCAACTTTCTGCATGCTATGTATTATTTGTTTGTGATGAAATAATAATAGAAAGCAAAAATAAATTCAAAGTAATGGTTAATGATTAACTTATATAATTTTTCATGGATTCCTTGAGCAAGTGGTCTTACGGCAGTATTGTTTCTAAATCAGAAAAAATGTGTAGCATCATCATATCATGGCTCCAAAACTATCTTACATGGGAATAAAACTTTTGAACGCTGGATGAAGATCCATAAGTTTATATTTTGTTCGAAAATAATACCCTAGAAAACAAAACTAATTCGTTTAGAGTCATCCATAAAGCAAATATACACAGACATCGCATTTTTTTAGCTTCCTCCTTCTATCCGAAAATACTGGGTTTTGACTGAATCCTTTCTCCCTGGACGTCCAGCTTTCAAAATCTTTTTCGAAAGAATCTATTTATAAAAATATAATGTTTTCTTTTATATTAAACGACTGATATAAATGATCTATTCATAGATGATGCGTCAAGACAAAAATCAGTTTTCTTAAATCACAATTTGTAATAATTTCTATATCTCAATATAAACTCAAAGGCGACTGCAGTCGCCAAGAATTGCATACCAGAATAATTACACAAAAGTTATCTTGACTATGCGTTAAAAGACGAAGAGAATTGACAATAAAAACATATAGTTAAGGAAATAAAAGATGGTCATTCCAAAATTCAGAAAAATTGGCAAAGATATATGTGAACAATCTCTAATTTGTTTGTTCTTTGTGTACAATTACATTTATTCTATATGTTTCAGTTTTATTTCACATCTTTGAATACGAACATATATAATATTGTCCTGATAAATTTTTTTATTTTTAGATGCCTAATCTATCAGGACGTTATGAATATCCTAGCATCAATGTAGGTAGTTCTTTATATATAGTGCACCTGAAAAGTCTCGTATCACTTATTTGTTTTTAGCCGTGTATTAAAACTTTATAACATTAATTTTATTTCGTTATATGTTTGCATAGTAGAGGCCGAGCACTATCTATCTATAGATATCTATTTAATACGAAAAACTCTTGAATATAAAATAAAATAAAAACAAACAAACTTCAATGCTAAGAAAGAAATGACATGAAAAAAAATACAAAATAATATTACTATTATGAGTTTTTCTAAGATGGGAGTAATTCAATAATTGAAAAAAATGTTTTTTTTTATAAATTTTATCCCAAAAAAGGGTTTAAAAACTTTTAATCTAAATAACTGTGTAGAGCTCGATGAGCTCTATTGAGCCATGTGAAAATATCAAAAAACATTTTACTCAATTACTAAATTACACGTACCTTAGAAAAACTCATAATAGCAGTACCATTTTGTTTTTTTTTCTATCGACTAGCATTTTTCAAGTCAAGAGATCCCAGGATCAATTTTTTATATTTCATGCAACCTTCGATACTGTACAAAATGATTAAAAAAGGATTGAGATATTGACAGCAGATGCCCTGAAAAAAATCAACCATTGTAAACTGACAAAAGCATTTAAAGCTCTAATATCAACCTTTGCTTTAGAATACTCCGGATATTGTTGAAGATACAGATGACGGTCAATTAGATATTCTTTTCTACAACGAGCCTGAAGATGATGATAATATTATTGTCAACGACATTTTACTTCATGATTTTCATCCTGATGGTAATAATCATTACAATGCTATTCTAAACGACATTCTTGTTGAAGACTTTCTTCTTTGTCCTGATGTTATCGACGATACTCTTCTAAACGATTTTCTACAACAGACAATTGATTTCGATGGTGTTCTTCCTAATTATGACCTTACTAGTGCGGGTATGGTGTCGGTGTGGGTGTGGATTAGGGTGCAAGTAAACACCTACACCCAACAAAACACCCACATCCACACCCAACACCACACCCACACCAACACCCACATCCACACCCAACACCACACCCACACCAACACCCACATCCACACCCAACACCACACCCACACCCACACCCAACACCACACCCACACCCCACCCACACCCACACCCCACACACACCCCACCCACACCCACACCCC